GGAGAGCACCCGTGCATGAAACGTAAGTGGAAGCTCGGACGTCGAGTCGAGGACTATCGGTCGGCTGTGTCACAACGTTACCCCACGGTTTAATCGGTGAAGGCACATAGTAATTGTGCCAATATTATTGACATGCCATCAAAACCGCGGTGGAAGTAATGAAATGTCTTGTTGCGTGAAAGTACATCAGTACGTAGTCGATAAGTGGTTGAAAGTACATCATACAGGAAGTGGTCGATAAGGGAATCAAATTTACGATTTCCTTAATCAAGCGACTATGACTCCGCCCCGCGAACGATTACAAAGAGTGCGTGTCCATCCGCAAAATAGATTCGTCCCATGCGCCGCTGCGATTTTCCCAATTAAGATCGATCGGACGGAAAAAAGCGCGATTTGCCGATGCGTGATTCAACGCGATGTGATACGCCAGGATTAAAAGCTCGTGTTTTCGGCGCCGGCAGTTGACGCGCTTTCACGAAAGATCGACCCTGATTGAGAGAATTGGTGAAGCCAGACGAGCGTGAAACGGAATTTACGAGCAGTGAGAGCAGCGCGAATACGACCAATGGATGTTCCTCGGCTCTTCGATTTAGAAACTTACCTTGTGACGACAAAAAGAGAATGCAAAGAACTAGAAAATGTCATAATGCCTCGACTATAACGTGCCCTTCTATCACACGAGAACAAGTACAATGAAAGTCTCGTACGACGGCGCTACGTCAGAGTTATGAAAGCTCGCCCGACTTGGTCGGCTGTATGCATGGTTGACAGGAATGTGTAAGTTACTTGCCTTGAAAGACGACAACCGCGCTTCTACCGGTTTCTACCTGTATCAAATTTCTATCCCTTAAATAAAGCGACAAGTAAATTTTATGAGCACTGAAGTATTCCGAAAATATTCGGCTTTTAAAAGAGATAAATCAATACAAACACCCCCGACGAATGATGATCCCAATATCGTTGTTATAAATATTAGAGATTATAAAAAAATCAGTTATCAAAAATTTGGCTAAACTCGGAAGAAAAAAGAATAGCGAGTAACGGAAGTGTAAACGAGGGAATGAAGATTGTGCGCTCCGGGCGAAAGCTCAGCACACTTTAAGGCGAGATAAGAAAGACACTGTGAGACACAAAATTGCAAACGGAAAGGCGGGCAGTGGTGGCGGTTGAATAGCGGTGAAGAGCAGGGTGAAAACGGCGACAGCTTTACGCTCTTATACTAGCTTAACATAAGCGAAGAGACCGTGATATTCGTGATGCAGAGCCTCGACGACTTGATGACGTACAATTCCACGTCTCACCTCTGGAACGTGACAACGCTGTGGTTCGGCAATGACACCTATCACAACGGTACCAACTACACGGATTTGGCGCCGCGGAATCAATTCGTGCTTCCGTGGTGGCGGCAGATGATTTGGACGCTTCTGTTCGCCGGTATGATCACCGTGGCGACCGGTGGCAATTTAATAGTGATATGGATCGTGCTGGCGCACAGGCGGATGCGCACCGTCACCAATTACTTCCTGGTGAATCTCAGTATCGCGGACGCCATGGTATCCACCTTGAATGTCACCTTCAACTACACCTACATGCTCAACAGCCACTGGCCGTTTGGAATGCTCTACTGCAAGATTTCCCAGTTCATCGCGGTTCTCACAATATGCGCCAGCGTCTTCACATTGATGGCGATATCCATTGATCGGTAAGTCTTTTCTTTCTTCTTCTCTCTTTTTTTGGAATAATACGCTCTTGAAAATGAATTATGAAAAATAATACAGCATTATATCGCGATAGTCAATATTAATTAGATCAATATCACTTAAGTTCTCCCCCTACTATTATACTAGACGTGATGTTATCAAATCGTGGTGTTATCGTCAATAAACAAGAGATATATCCCGTCAACGCCAATCGTCCTGCTTAAGCACGAGTTATCGCTGGTCCTTAGCTATATCAAATATAATAATCCCAAAGATAGTAGCTTTTTAACTTCCATACGAACGCTATTTTTCTTTTCCTCGCTTAAGTATATTCTCGCTTTTAGTTCGTGAAACTTCTGCTGAAACTCCACTTGGATTGATGTTCGGTCCTGGAAAAATATATTTCCTTCTTCTGTTCATCTAGAGAAGTCCCAACGTGTGTTAAAGTAGGTACAGTGTGGGCGCGCCTTATATGATGTTGGGTTTAAGAAGGGTTAATAGCGAAACGGAAGCAAGTCTCAAGCTATAACGACGGGGATCAATCTGACGTCGAAAGTCAGCCAAGAAAAACGAGAAAGATAAACATTTGCGATCTAGCGTCACCTCTCCTGCGATTAAACGAGGTGAAACTTCGTCACTAAGATCCAATTACATAGTTCAACAAATCTCAACTTCTTTACTTATGACTTAATACAACTGTTATCGGTAGATATTGCAAAAAAGGCTGTTCTCATATATTTTTATTGTAACTACAATATATGACTGAATATGCTGAAGTATATTAATATATTGTATATAGGATTTTTTAGTGTCGGTTATGATTAACAAGATATTTATGTTAATCTATTCAGGTTAAATATTAATTATAATTAAATGTGGTCTCTATAACGGAATAGCAATTAATTATAAATCATTTATCGAATAACCTATAATTCAAAATTATAAAAGTTTACATATAAATTTTTGCAATAATTTGAATATTTTCAAGTTTTGACATATTCCATTACATTCAATTCACCACTTTGAATTTATTAATTTTCATATCGAATTCGTTGAAAGGTACCTGGTAAATTGCCAATGACCTAATTCACAGCTTTTCCGCGATAGGTTTCACATTTAGCTATGAATAACGCTAAAACAGGCAAATAAAAGTCGATTCTTTAAAATGTAAACGTATAAAAATGATTAATAGGAGTTAAATACATATATAATAGAAAACAGAAATATTATTACATGTTTTGGCTCCTATGGTGAGTGTTTCATCGAGAAGACGTTGTTTGCTTATTTTTAACAGAATATAAAAAAGACAATTTTTCTAAAGAATTTTATTTTATCAAATTATTTATTTAATTATTGGTGAACAAATTTTGTCTTTCTGATCAGAACATCATGAAATTCCGTAACAATCGATCATCTAATCGTTTGTGAGTAACTGACGTCTTCCATGTTTCATTCATTAAAATCGCTGCATAAATTGGAACACATTACTTCATGTTTTTTATTTTTTTGACGATGGTAACTAAAATGTAAAGTGTGAAAAGGATAATATCTGAAGATGGTTCAATATAGGAGCCGAAACATGTAATAATATCTTTGTTTTTTATTATGTATATGTTTAACTCCTATTAATAATTTTTATACGTTTACATTTTAAAGAATCGACTCTTATTTGCCCATTTTATCATTATATTGTTATTGAATTTTTAAGAGTCCTTGACTGTTTTATATTATTAGCTATGAATAACTTACTAACCATAGCCGTATATTAAAAGTCCTAATAATATATTTAACAATTGATTGCAATAAAACTTCTTTAGCATATCGTAATTATAACATGACAAAATACGTTAAAATGGTCCCTTTTTGCAACTTTAATTGCAAATTTTTCAAAATTGTGATTTAATGGAGCAATTTGGAAAACGAATTTGTGGTACCATATTCAGCATCCAGAAAACTATAAAAAATGACTGATCTTGTTTTAGTGTTTGAAAAAAATGGTTTTTTTTGTTAAACAGTGTTATTAATTATCTTATAACGACGTATTCAATAATGGAAATGCAAATAGAATAAGAGCATTTTTGCGGTAATATCGGAGAAGTGCAATTCAATCTGCGAGTTGGAAATGCCGGACTAATTTTCCAAAGCGACTTCCCTCTTGAATTAACGCTATTCACAGAATTACACTCTCAACGGAATGTATAATTCACCGTCCTTTTTATCATCACCGCAAGCCCAATTATTCCTTTTTTTTCTTTTAATTCAACTACAATTAATCAAATCGGAAAAAAATGAATTCTCTTTGTTTGTTGAAGGAAGAAATTATCTATTCACACACACACACACACACACACACACACACACACACACACACACACACACACACACATACACACACACACAATGATCGAAACTGGTGCAAATAATCGTGAACTCTAAAAACTCAGAACTAATGCGATTGCATTGGTAATATTCTGAGAGTAACCTCTTAAATTCTCATAAATCTCGATTAAAAACTTAGTCACTTTTCAAACCAAACAATCTATCTCAAAATCGATTACGGTAAATTCACGTTCTGCGAAATGAATAATTGCTTCAAGAAACTAAAGTTCAAAAGCTGAATACAGAAAAACTGCTAGTCAGAACATTGCTTTCATCGAACTAAAGGAGCGTATGTTCATTTCTTCTCAATTGTGCCCCAGAAGAAAAGCCATTACTCGAAGACAATATCCAGAGCCACGAGAAACGTAGAATGATTAAAGGCCCGTTCTGCGAGAGATACTTTATATATTCAATGTTTTTTATATATTCCCAAAAGTTACCCTAAAATGACGATGTATTTCTCGAAGATTTAGACATTTTGGAAGCAACATTTCTCCGATTAAAAAAACACGACAAATGATAAAAATTTCGATAGTCCGATGTCACCGACAGATACTACGTGATAGGGGCGTTGACTTAGAATTGTGCCAAGAGTGTGGAGTTGGCGAAGGCAGGCAAGGGCGGACGGACAACCAAGAAAAGGAGTCTTGTGATTGCATGAAAACTGTTGTGCACATATATTTTTATTTTTTACATATATATTTGTAATATATATATTTTTCATATACAGGGTGGACCATCTGAAGTGATCCAGTCAAATATCTCGAAAACTAGTAGGGATAGAGAAAAATGTTTCGTATGAAAAGTTTA